TGTACGGCAGTGAAGCATCAGTATTGAACACTGATGTCATGCTGTCGATGATGATGATGATGATGATGATGATGAAATCGTTGCCTTTTCAACCGTCTTAATATTTGAAGATGAAGACCAAGCACAAGCTCTGTGGAATAAACTGACAACTTTCATACAATATTTCGGTGTGCGCCTTCGTTCGCCCCCTAACGCCCTTTTGGAGAACTGTTGCCATGCTACCAGAAGGAATAGTGTGGGCCGATATATTCCCTGATTTCCGCTGCAGAGACAGGAACTGTGGAGGTGCAAAGGTTGGGTTTGAACCACAAACCATCCAGCCCTAACCACAGCATGCGCCTTGTAAACTCAAGGTGCAAAGGTGTGCTTCAGAACGTGCGACTTTTGAACACCCCCTTAACTTCCAGGTAGAAGCACTAGAGGTTTTGGAGGATTTTACATTCTTCGGCAGATGTATTACCTGCGACGGCAGTGTGTCTGGTGAAGTCAGTGCACGAATCTCAACAACACCGATCTTTCAACCGACGCCGCAGCTGTTTAAGCGTAAAAAAACGGGACGTGTTTCCTATTCTAGCGCGTACTTTGTCAGTAATAACACCACCAGCGATACATTCATCTATATAATTGTGTCCAATAACTGATCTTGGCGTCTTGACTTTACTTTGTCTTGGGGTTTGGAGTGCAAGGCTTACTGGTCGTTGACCATTGGCTTTTCGGTTAGGAGTTTTCACCACAATCACTGGATTTTCCAAGGTCGCTAATCCTTGTGATGAATCACGTGACATTTCGCAGATGTATCCAACAACTGGTTGAAACTGTAGTCTTCGCTGCTCACGCCGTCTTATGCGAATCTCGAGGGGACACTCCGTATTGGATGCTGTTTGTTGTACCTAGACTAATTTGATGACGAATAAGCGACGGTTGATTGTGAACACGAGCAGGTCTGTGTTAACCACGTATGTGGTCGGGGGGGGGGGCGAGATGGCGCAAATTCACTGACAGGAAGGTCCATGGTTCGAACCCGACCTCTGCCTCTCGGCTTACACTGTTTAGACTTGATTGACCTGGCAGTTTCCCAGCCATCGTACTTCCTTCTAGTGGCATGGCAGTTAGGGACCGAAATGGTGTTACCGTTGAACGATTTTTTAGGTGGTTGGGGGATAGTGTATGGGTAACATATCTGGTGTCGGCCTTCATTTTGGTTTGGTATGGTGGTGGCCCACGGTCAATGGCAAGCCTGTATCCGCAGATTATTATGATTGTCCGGTCAACTGGACGACTTTAGTATTTTTTGCTCCACCCCACCTTAGTAGTTCTCATCCATTTCAATTTTCTCTCGGATATCGTTCAGTTTATTTGTGACTGTCTCGATTACAGCACAAGAATTTCTGTATCGACACGAGTAGATGGGCATCGTCGTGACTGAGTGGGTGTCACATCAATAATATGCATCAATTACCCATCGCTTTGTAATACTTCACTTTGCCTGAAAAGACCGAACTGATGTGGTATTCGGTTGACCAGCCCATGTACCACGCGAACCCGACCCTGCCTCTCGGCTTACACTGTTTAGACTTGAGTAACCTGGCAGTTTCCCAGCCATCGTACTTCCTTCTAGTGGCATGGCAGTTAGGGACCGAAATGGTGTTACCGTTGAACGATTTTTTAGGTGGTTGGGGGATAGTGTATGGGTAACATATCTGGTGTCGGCCTTCATTTTGGTTTGGTATGGTGGTGGCCCACGGTCAATGGCAAGCCTGTATCCGCAGATTATTATGATTGTCCGGTCAACTGGACGACTTTAGTATTTTTTGCTCCACCCCACCTTAGTAGTTCTCATCCATTTCAATTTTCTCTCGGATATCGTTCAGTTTATTTGTGACTGTCTCGATTACAGCACAAGAATTTCTGTATCGACACGAGTAGATGGGCATCGTCGTGACTGAGTGGGTGTCACATCAATAATATGCATCAATTACCCATCGCTTTGTAATACTTCACTTTGCCTGAAAAGACCGAACTGATGTGGTATTCGGTTGACCAGCCCATGTACCACGCTTTTAATGGCACTTGGGGTGGCATTCTTTTTCGAGTTTCCGACTAATGCATTCTCTATATCAGTGTCATGTGTGTCAGTGCTTATTTTGTTACTAAGTACCTACTCATCGTTTTCATATTTTGAATTCTAGAGTCCTTCATAAGATGAATATCCTACCGAAAAAGAGGTTAGCAGGACTTACTGATTTCCTTGAACAGTATTCTACTTAAGGTGGCACGTCCTAACAAAGGAGAACATTGCCCGTGTACGGAAGGATGAAGCGCAGTACGAGGAAGAACAACGACAAATCAAATACCGAGCCAAACTTGCTGTATGTGGTCAATTTAAGCGGACTTCATATATCTTTGGTGGTATTTTCGCAGGAACAAGAGTCTCGTACGGAGACCCTTCGTAAGCGAGGTTATCGAAAACTGGCCACTTCTAGTGGTGGTCCACACGGAGCCATACTTGTAGCCAGTAGTGTAAGTGGCACATTCTCCCCCTCAACGGATCCCGTTATCTAAGACCGAGCTTATTCAAGGGAACAAAGAGTACGAAGCCGAGAAAAAATCAGAAAAGGAGAAACAAGAGAAAGCTATTGGCCTACTCACCTACCTCGGTCAGAGCGTTTTAGAAGCTGGTGGCGAAAAACCGTGGTATGATGTTCCTCCAAAGCAACTACAGTCTTCCACTGAGAAGTCCAGGTTCGTCAGTGTGTACAGCATATTAATCCTTGATTAGACTGAAGGACGAATGGGAGGCTAAGAAGAAAGCCAGAGCCGATCCATTGACAGAGATGAACAAGATCACCGAATGGTTTGAACAGAGACGCGAAGAAAAAGCCAAAGAAGAAGCCAAAGTTTTACAACGTGCCAACACGTGCATTGCTGCAATGCCGTCCCTGTTCCCCAATGACATTGCTGTTCCCAAAACGCTGGTGAGTTCATGGTGCTGTGTATGTTTCTTCATGGACTGTAAAGGGCACGTAAAACCACATTTCTTTGCGTCGTTCGCTTCCGTTCGATAGCTTATATCTCTTACATATACTTATTGCCTTCTGCCAGGACAGTACCGTCGTTCCAGTCACTCTGATTCCATTTCTTTGAATCCCTTAGGTGCACCGACAGTGAAGCTTACGCCCTCTTCGCTTACAGGTCCTAATATCATTTAGAAGTCTGAGCTAGAAACCAAAGACGTCCTGATAAGGAATCGAAGAATGTTTTGACGTAACACAATTAATGGTCTGAAGCCCAGTGCGTTAAGGCCCCAGTCAAGATATCTTACATTTTACACTGTGACATTTTATGAGGAAACAGGCCGTCTTGGTATGAAAGCCCCTCAACCCTATGCCTTAGAACGCCGATTCATTGGCTCCAACACCTGTTGCTTCGCCGGTGGGGCTGTCGAGAAAGATGTTGCAGAAACAAAACACAGCCATTGTATATATATGCACTATTATTAAGGGTACTAAAAGCCCTTTGACAATTCATCTGTTTCACCCTTATTGGGGTTCATCGGGTAGGCGCTGTCCCCGAGTTTCCGTCAACTTAATGTTCTATTTGAACAAAAATTGCACGGGATTTGACTTATGCACTCATCTACATATCAATTTGGTTTTGACAGGAAACTCACTTGGAACCCAGATGAATATCTCGTTTATCGTGTTTTAATCAACTTAGTGTGCAAAACCAGTCGTGGCTGTCTAAGAGTTTTCAGCAACGTAATGAGTAGTGTTTTATTTCTATACAATTTATTGCTATATCTCGAATATCGTATCAACTAAAACATAAGGCGGCTTGTTGTAACGCATCCAGTTGGAGAAGAACATCATAAACGAGAGATTCAACTGGGTTCCAGTTTAGCCTCTCGTTAAAACCAAATTAGTATGGAGATGATTGTATAAATCGAAAACATAACCACCCCCCACCATGATGGCGGTCAGTCGTTTGGGTAGGGCTCAAGGTGGGTTACCACAACGAAACCTTGTTTGTCAGTCCGGGAAGCTGGGAAGTGGCATCTGCCAATGCAGCGTAAGGGCGGCGGTTGTTTTGATTACTCCCTAACGGAACGATCCCGTCTTCTTCCAACTATGAATTCAGTGTCCATCCCATAAAAATATAAACTAAGCATGCGACATTAACATCAAAGAATCCGTCCAACGAAACAGCGTTTGAGACCCAATATTCCTGTCGAATAGACGAGAGGACATCCTTTGCTCATACCATCCCCTTTTAAAAAATCAATGTGTATCTTAGCTCTCTCTAAGGGAATGCATTTGAACACGGTCCGGTGCCTTTCAGGTTACTCAAGGTTTGCTCTCCGGATGTCGTATGGTTCAGAATTGGTACCCCCGTGGTCCAACTGATCTGAGTTCTGCGGTGAGTATGGAAACTGTAGATGCTATGCATGTGTGAACAACTGACTGTGTGCGGTCGAATAGGCCACGTATATCGGAGTCCTCAATCAACGACTCGAAACCCGAGCTATATCCGTTATCCCCGTATACACTTCCATATGCTGCAGCCCTTATCGATAGTGATTTGAACTCCCAAGTGGGGAGAATCGACAAGCATGTCAACCACCTCAGACGCATTTGTTGCAGATGTTCTCAGAATCGACAACGGCGATAGCTTCCCGAAGCTGCGCACTAATCACTCTGTTATCGCAAGCACAAGCTTTCAGCATAAGTTGAACGCCGCGTTACCTGGCGCTCTTCAATCCTAATCACTCGGGCACTTAGGTTGACCACACAGCAGTTAATTTAAGCTGGCGATTTTGTGTTGAAGACTGTCGCTCTCCCTGGAACGTGTTCACAGGCTCAGACCATGCTGTGGTTATTTCCGGTGTCCAGTTTTCCTTGCGCATAAGGGGAAAACCATTCACCAGTATGATACCTGCTGCCTGCAAGCCACAGTCGCCCCAGAATTCTATCAGCAACAGCTGTTGAGGCAGCTGACAGATGTGGAATAAACCTCTGTTATCCATGAAGAAAACTTGAATTTGGCGTTTGGTTGCGTGCGTCCTAAAATGGTTCAGTTGAATCTCAATGATCCTTATCACTGATTGTCGACTTTCCCTGTCTAGGTTTAGGCACCCTGGTAGTATCCCAGCCCTCGTGCTTCCTTCGGGTGTCGTGGCAGCTAGGCACCGGAAGGGTGTTACAGCTGAACGGTTTATCCCTGATAGACAAGGAAACCGACTTCGCCAGGCCAAAAACGGGGCTATCAAGCTACTATCGGTTCCTTCATGAAAAACCGTCGTGGCTGCATGACCACTTCACCTCACGGTTGGCTCAGTTGGTTGCGCTGTTTTGTGACGGCCTCTCCAAAAACGTTCCGGACCTTTCCGCCACGCCCCCAAAATGCTTGTCCTCCAACGTACGCTGGCGCGTAAAAGTCTGTGGAGAGTGTTTTTCCAAATTCATCAGACTAGCCCGTGTCACCCCCAGCTTCTCAGTCGAATTAATTATCGAAGAATCGCGGGCTATTTTCCCTCTCAGGCATTGAGCCTCCTTTAGAAGAAGACTTTGAAGACTTGAAGCATGGGACCGATATTGCGCTACTTGGTTCAGATTTCACCCAGATGCAGGTGCATGGCTAGTATTCGAATCGGATTTGTATGTAAACAGTAGTCAAACCACTGAACGCCTGGGAGTAGTAAAAAGCCACAGACTTTGTGAGGAACCGAGTTTAGTGTTGCGCGCAAGCCCTTGGTGCCGAGGTAAACCCTAGCGAATAAGATTGATGGGCAAGGCATCAATCGGCTTAAGCTTGCCAGCATCGTAATGGACAGCACCAGTTACCCGTTTAGAACCGAGGTAACGGCGTTTTCCATCAACTCTTCTAAGTTTCAGTGTAATACTACGTCTCCGGCAGGATAACACCAGAGTAACCCAGTAACAACCTGTCAAGATAGACAACCCTGTGGTTATCCATCATTCGATAGAGCTGGTGTAACAGTTGACCTGACCGAAATGTCGCGCCTCTCTAGGTCGGGCGAATGAAAAGTGTGGTAATTGTCTTCAGGTATGTGTGCTATGATTCCCTGAACAAGATACGGTTTCTTGCTACCAAGATCCAACAGCAGAGTTTCGTTGTAGTAAAAATTTTGAGTCGCTATCGTGGAATCTGGCGTTGCAGCATCTGAATCCACTTCTAACGGCACGGGAAAATCCAACTAACGCTGCCTGTTTTGAAACGTGCACCACCACCCCCTTGTTTTGGACGATTTATTACTATATCACACGCTTTTCGTTGAGTATCAGACAACATCCTATTACTTGGAGCGTTACTGTAAGTGACTGTTTTGTGGAGAGACACTGAAAACAAATAATTACCAAAATATAGCATGATCCAAAGGCAAGACGAGTATGCGAGCAAGCACTCAGTACGTCGTTATTAAGCTCTTATGCCCACGTGCTTTTCTTATATCCTGTTTCGGTTTCCAAGGTTTTCTTTGTCATATTTTACTTCGTAGTGACCTGGAAACAGAGAGACCAAAGGCGCATTAGCTTCATTTCTTATTTTGCCATGCGATGCTTAGGAAGCCGTTCTAAACAATTGAATCCGTGGATGACATCGTTCATCCTGGTAACTTGGTAGTTATGTTATATCACCGATTAAATCATTCCTGTTTGCCTGGGCTTATCGACAGGGATCATACGTTCTAACGCCAAAAAACGAAAGACGTGTGCAAATCGAAAAGAGGCAACGTTTCGAGGTCACTGTCAGGATGGATGCGTTTTGCGACTTGCAAATGCAGCTTGGTTAGAACAGTTCTTCACAGAAAATAAATATCTGCAACCTTGTAGAATTCCAGAAGCAGAGATTACAGGAACAAAGTTACGAGGAGGATCTTATTTGATAGGAACACTCTGAAGCAGGATCTACTTAATTTCAGGACCCGTAAACTGCTCGGTATCCTTTTGGTCCTAAACTCCCGCCCAGTTGTGTTCTCTGTGACATGGGTATTTAACAAGATTTTGTCCACTTTTATTTAGCATTGTTCTCACTAATTTTTGTGTTTTGGACTGGCTAGGTTAATGGAGTCACGTCCGTCTGGTAAATTTTCCAGGCTTGTGGGAATTTCGTCTAACAGTGAGGTATTGCTTTTGTTTAGGCCTTTTTCTACTATGCTTTGTCCAGCGCATTTCTAGAGGCCAGTATGTCACTACATCCGATGCGTTGGTTTAGACTTGCCCTACTAAGGTCAGTGGCTGCCATTTTGTGCGCTGTTCATTGTCTATCAGGGCAAACAGGATAACATGAAAATGTGGTCAACTAATAACACGGTGGATTGGTGTGAAAAGCATGGCCACATACTTGGCCAGAGTAGACTTGTTCAGGCTTCCATTCTGGAACCAAGTGGCTGGAACATTCGTCTAGCAGCACCAAAAGGCGTGGCTTAGTGTTGAACACAGTGCAGAGCATGCCCTCAACAGCGTGTCGTATGCCGACTCGTTTCATAACGCCAAAATATTATCCTCACAACAAATGGGCTTGTGTTGGACTACAAATCCCATGCCATGGACTGGAAGTGACCTAGCTAGATTTGGTTGTTGGTGTTTCCATGCCTAGGTGGCTACGATTAATCAGCAATCAGTAGTTACCAGTTCTGCGTCATCTGTGGTGATAATACCACTGTACTGCGTAGAGTCGTATGACTTTTTACACATACACAACCATGCACAGAATCACATCAACAGCGTCCATGCTGACTAGAGTCGAAGACGTCCAGACCAAACGACGTATTCTTCCACTAACCATTTTCTCGTTAGATTCCAGAGCAGGTTCTAATGCTCATTATCATTTTTTTCTCTCTCTCTCTTATATAATGCATTCCAGGAGAAAACTCATGATAATGGGCAGCAAAAGTCGAAGAAAAAGCACTCTGCAGTAACAGAAGCATCTTGCAATTCGATCACAGAGTCCGCTAGTGAAAATACTGTGGCCTGTACGTCAGACGCCATAAAGTTGGCGAAACAAGCAGAGCTGGATCGCTTGCGCGCTGAACGGCTGCAGCGCGAGAGGAAAGAACGCGAACGAGCCGCGCTAATCATGGCAAAAGCTATGGGTCTTTCTGAGGCACTTCAGGAACCCAAACAACTGGAAACTTCTGTGGACGAGCGTGATCTACCCTTCAATTCGGCCTTTAATCCTGAACTATCAGCCGCTCTGGCTGAGCGTCGTCGTCGTCATCGCGAGTCGCGAAAGCGCCAACGCTCGCCGGAATAACTTCAACTATCGCTTGTTCATTTATCCTTCCTTATTCACTGTCTTATCATCACGGCTTATCAAGATAATTTGTGAATTATGCAACTCACTGACTTTTCCCATCCTCAAGAGATGGTAGTCTACTATCCCGATTTGTCTTCAGTCGGTGACCGTAAACTGATCGTTCTGTTATCAGGACAGTCTCAGTTCAAGATCCACCGGATTCCTGAACGAAACTGTGGCAGCTGGGACCGGCATATTTTTGGTACGCATTTGTTAGTCGACAGATCAAACTTATCCCTTAGTGAATCGAGGAGTGACAAGGAAATGAGATGTCTGTGACCACGTGAATAAGAAATGTTGGCGTTTTGTGTGACAAGGATACTGATGTTCGAGTAAAAACAACTAGTTTTGCTCATTCCATATGTGGATTGTAACGATGCTGGTTCCCACACAAGCCATAGGGACGTAGGAGGTATTTTCACACCTGCACTATAAACCTTTCGGGCCGAATTGTTTAGTATACTGATTAGCCTGCTATAGATTCGGCAGGCGCACCGATTCTCAGGCAATCATGACAATCCAGGGAGGTTGTTTGAAAAGATGATTTTTCCTTAGCGGAAAACAGCAGGCATAACTTGTCCCCGTCGTGATTCAGCGCATCAGCTTAATATTAGTATGGATTGGGCACAAGTTTTACGGTAAAATTCTAGTAACGCGCCAAACTTCGAGATTTCACTATAGGGTGAAGAAAAACGAAAATTTGATTGCTTTTCAAGAAGGTCCCTCATTTGGAACACCTTTATCAGCAGGTTACACGGATAAGACACTAAGCACGGTTAGAAACAGAATGCAGTTGACGGTTGGGAACTACGGTGGATCAGTCATGCGCTTTATGATACCCATTTAGCTCCAAATGACATTCAGTCGAGTCTCCTCTTGACCATCTTGATTTGCAAGCGAGTGTGTAGCGGTATCCAAATTAGTGTTTGAATACGGAGTAGGACATAAGGCTGATTAAAATTCTGGAACCAGGTATATCTGGTTAGCCTCAAAAAGGACGAAGCAGATGGTGGTGTTAGGTCAAGGAGAATTTGTCGGTACCTTGAATATTGTCCTAGCAGAAACATGGAACGGACCTTGTGCAGCACATTCGGTTGAGGAATTCCGTGAACGGGAGATTCAGTTAGATCTCCGGTTAGCTTCTACTCAATTCGCAAACTAGTGTACAACTCCATGGATATATAATTCCGTGCTCATGCAGGATATAACTCTGATGGAAGCCCGGGGATTAAGTCTGCCTGATAAGTCCCAATGAGAACGATATTAGCAGTAAGCTAAGACTGTTCATCCCTGCATGTGATTCGTTTGTTCTCCCGGATCTAGGGGGACGTAAACTTAGGCCCGTATTCTACATCCTCTGCTAACTTGTGCTTATTTGTGTAAAATGTCTTAAAGAATAGAACAGTCGTGATGCCATTGACATTTGAATCAGTTGGCGAAGACTGCCCTTGTGAATGTTACATTTTATAAAAATGATTCACTGTTCTTTTCAGAAGCTGTCATTGTCAGAACTTTGAACTGAGAATATGTGGGCAGCGGTGGTGTGTTGTCATTGTGGCTTGTAGAGAGAGAATGCGGAGCTACCACCGAAAGGAAGAAGGCCTTCGCTGCGGAGTTATTTATTAGAAAACGCCAACGGACCAGTTATAGACTATTGGACACTTCATCTTATTTACGAAAACTGGACATCCATCTTCTGAACGCGTCTTCTTGAACTTTCATTGATATTCATTGATTCCAATCATTCATTGCTCAAATCCAAGCAAATGCTGCAGAGCGACTCCACAAATTCCGTAGAAGATCTCAATTTTCAAGAGACGCATAGCAGAGTTACGAGTAAACATACTGCTTGCAACAAAGGACAAAACATACTACTCGCATGCCTCCCTATCAGTAGTATCACCGCTACACCACCACAGATTTTGTTCCCATCAGTTGTCCGAAAGAAACTCCAACTGATTTATGAAATCACGGTACGCGTTGAGTTGTGGTTTCTCAACTTCTACGGTGGCCCTTGTCCCGCCCATTGTCGTATATAAAAAGGCACGGCAGCTTGGGATTGCCTATAACAGTAACAAAATAAATTACTACAACTGTATCTATGGGGTAATCTCGGGAGTGTCTACGGGGGCACGTCAGGATTTTCGTGATGGGAATTGACGGACTAGGGAATATGCTGATTGGTATCTTCTGACGAAACAGCATGTCCTTATGTTCTAATTGAACCCGAAATGGACTATCAGTTATCAGGCCAAAGGGTTCAACAATAAACAAAATAACACCTTTCTAAATCCAAGAGATCCTCTCTATATAGGAGCTTTCAAGGTCCGTACTCTATGTCCAATTGGCAAACAATCAGTGCTCGTAGAAAACATATACTCCCCTAAGATTGATGTATGCTGTGTCTTTGAAACAAGCATATAAGGTCTTAACATGTTCATCCATCTCAAAACGCCAAGGATTAAATAAACCAATCCTGTACTGGCAGTGAGCATGTGGATGATGTGTAGCGAAGTGCGAAACGGGTTATGTTAGCGGTGTTCAGTGCTGTCTGTCGTTGAGATCGCTATCCATGATTGATACCAGGAAACCCATGCCAACAGGCAAAGAGTACGACGGCGTGCGCAAATCCGTTTAAATGACAAAAAGTGAAGTGTAAAGAAAGATCGAGAGTTCTGGTAAACATCGAAAGCTCGGTTGATGTGGAAGGCTTTCGCTACCGGAAACGGTCGTGATCTATACAAACTGATACGATCGACTGGCCACAGGAGAGCAGCGGTCAGTGAAACGATCAGCGAAAATGCATGCATCCACGCTATTACCTTCAATGCATGGCTCCCTTCCCAATCCCCTTTCGCTACAACGGTCGTGATCTATACAAACTGATACGATCGACTGGCCACAGGAGAGCAGCGGTCAGTGAAACGATCAGCGAAAATGCATGCATGCACGCTATTACCTTCAATGCATGGCTCCTTTTCCAACCCCCCCCCCACTTGACAGCCCACTGACAGTGGTGGATTTATTCACCAATTTATCAGCTCCC